GAATGATAATTATTATTTATTGAACATCATCTACATGCCAGGCAGGAATCCTGAATGAGAATACTTTGTTTGCATGGTACCCTTTTTAACTTTACAAAACCCTTCCATATTTTTCACCTCATTTCTTCTTTTCAATGCCCTTTGAGATAAGTAGGGAGAGTTTAATCGTGTCCACCTGACAGTAGAAAAAGGCATCCAGTGCCTTATAAAGACAGTTTGAGAGAGAGCACTAGAACTAAAGTATTCCAGACTTCCCAAGTGTGCTCTTTCCTTCAATGTAAACAAACAAACAAACAAAAAACAAAGGCAAAAAATTGTTGAAGAATTAAGACAATAATTTTTTTATTTGTCCAGGTAATTTGCAAATACCTCCCTTCCACACACACACAAACGCACACCCCAAAGGAATCAAATCGACCTTTCTTCTATCATTCCCTGATTATCCACAAATGGGATGTCTAATTTGTGGACAACCTACCCTCTCCTTGCGGTTGTATTTCTTGTTCAGCTGTAGTTTTAGTCCAGGATTGTCAGGTTCTATCTCCATTTACTGGAGAGACCCTGCATGGAGGAGAGATTCTTTCATTCTCTTAAGGAAAATCCAGAAAGTGACTGAGCCATGTTCAGCCTTGCATCCTACCTCCATATTTCTTTGCTTTGTGAAAAAAGCTTCTATTTGTATAAATCAACTTGAATAGGGTTTTCTATTGTTTGCAGCTAAAAAATCATTTCTAACAGTTACTGTGAAATGCACAAAAATCTTAGTCCTGTCGTAATATTTTAATTTATACTTGTTTCTTTAAAATATAGCTTGTAATTCCTATTAGGCCCAATTGAAGATATCAGATCTAAAGTAGTAGTATTCATAGTAGTAATAGCAGTAATGGTAATACCGCTTTGGTTCTGTGTGCCCGGGACCTACTATATTAGATATAAGATCTTTAAATTCACTTTTAAGTAAAATTCTATACTTGAAAAATGTCTACACACATGACTTCCAGAGACATATGATTCCTCTTGGCCTTTTAAACATTAAATGAGACATCTTAGTGGCTCACTATAACTATTAATGAATCAAAATAGCATCACTTAAAGATGAAGTAACTCAATTCAAGCAAAAATGCTGGACATACAGAGGCTAAAGGTAAATTCAAATGAGCACAGTATTTTTCAAAGCTTAAGATGATTATAGTGATTCAGGTATGCGAATGACTTTGCACACATCTGTTTTCAATCATACAGAAAACTCACCACCAGTTGCAGAGTAATGACCACTTTATTTAACCAGGAGTTACATTGTTCAGTGTAATTCTTGCCCATAGAAACCAGCAGAGGAAAATTTCAGGAGGTTTTGGGTGTTATGTCTCATACTATTCATGATTACTCATATTTTCCAATTACATGTCTTTTTCCTACCATTTCATTATTCAAATCCCCAATGTAATGTGTATGTCCCCAAGTACCTGTTACATGAAAGGAAGATGTTAGGTTGCTATTTAATTTTCCAGTATGCATGGGTGTGCATTGCAGAAGAGGAATCCAGGCTCTTCTATCCTCCCGATACCCCTAGAGTGTAGGCCTTCACCCCCTTGCTAGTCATTTTACAGCACAATGATGGGCGCCATGCCTCTAAACATTGCTGGCAAAAAGTGGGAGGGAAAAAAAAAAAGCCAAAGGCATAGGCCAGTTGAGTCTGCTCTTTTTAAAAAAGCCTTTTCAGAAGCCCTACCCATCAGCCTTCAAGTGTGTGATTCTAACAGGGTCTCCTTAGACCAGCACTGTTTAACTGAAATAAAGTGCAAGCCACAAATGGGACCTACATATGTAATTTTAAATTTTCTGTAACCATATCAAAAAGGAAAGAGATGAAATTACTTCTAATAATATACTTCATTTAACCAAAAATACCCAAAATGTTATTTCCACGTGATTGATACTTTTTAAATCGGAATATTTACATTCCTTTTTTGCACTGCCTTCAAATCCAGTGTGTATCTCAATTTAAACTAGCCACATTTCAAGTACTCTATAGCCACATGTCACTATATTAGGTAGGAAGCCTGTGATAGTGTGATAGAATAAGAAATATATATTTGGTCTCTGCCCTGGCTCCTGGGCCAGAGCTCCTAAATCCCTTGGAATTTCCTGAGTGGTGTGAGCATCTTTAGTTCTAATGAGGCAACTCTTGGTGGGTGGTGGGTTCCTGGATAGCCTCAGGATGGGGCTGGTTGCCAAGGGAAACAACCATGTGACTAGAGGCTTGGAACTTTCAGTCTCACTCCCTCTCTGCCCCCCCAACCCCTGGCAAAGGGAGAGGGGTTGGAGGTTGAATTGATCACCAATGTCAATGATGTAACCAATCCTATCTATGTAATGAAGCCTTCATAAAATCCCAGAAAAATAGGGTTCAGAGTTGCTGAATGCATGGAGTTTCCTGGAGGGTGGCTTGCCCAGAGGGGGCATGGCAGCTCTGTGTCCCTTCCCCCATGCATTCCATACCTTGCCCCATGCATCTCTTCCATCTGGTTGTTCATCTGTATTCTTTAAAACATCCTTTATAATAAACTGGTAAATGTAAGTAAAGTGTTTCCCTGAGCCATCCTAGTACATTAATGGAAACTGAGGAGGAGGTAGTGATAACCTAGGGCCTTCGATTGGCATCCGAAATACGGGGCAGAGCGTGACTGAGCCCTCAACTTGTGGGATACGATGCTATCTCCCAGCAGACAGTACCAGAATTGAGTTAAATTATAGGACACCCAGTTTGTCTCGGCTGGAGAATTGGTTGTAGATAGAGAGAACCCCATACACATTTTGGTGACCAGAGGTGAAGTATTGTATTCTATGGTGACTGTGTCTGTAGAAGCACAAAACCTTTTTTTTTCATTGGAAAGACTTTGACCAATCACTGGAAATGGCTAAGGAGAAGGAATCTGTAAATCAGAGTAGACCAGCCAAAACTGCTTGACATTAGCAGATATTACATTTAATAAGAAATGAATTAAATTCAACTTAAACATAGTAAGTACCATCCACGGCAGCTCAACTCTTCAACCTGGAATTGTTCTAATGTAGGGCAAAATGCCTTTTTTTTTTAAACACAAAAAAACCCACTTAATTAAATTAATTAATTAATTAATTAGAGACAGAGTCTTGCTCTGTTGCCTTATCATAGCTCACTGCAACCTCAAACTCCTGGGCTCAAGCCATCCTCCTGCCTCAGCATCTAAGTAGCTGGGACTACAGGCTCAGGTGGCCTGGCCAATGTTTCTATTTTTAGTAGAGACTGATCTCACTATTGCTCAGGCTGGTCTAGAACTCCTGACCTCAAGCAATCCTCCTGCCTCGGCCTCCCAGAGTGCTAGGATTACAGGTGTGAGCCACCTCGCCCAGCCTACAAATTTTATTTTTAATAAACAATTGCATACATTCATGGGGTACAATGTGATGTTTCAATACATTGTGGAATGATTAAATTCGGCTAATTAACATATCCATCCCCACACATGCTTATCATTTCTTTTTGGTGAGAACACTTAAAATCCACCCTTAGCAATTTTGAAATATACGCTATCATTAACTATAGTGACCATGCTGTACAAGAGATCACCAGAACTTATTTTCCTCCTGACACATTGTACCCTTTGACCAACATTTCCCCTTTCTCTGTCCACTTCCCAACTCCCCCCAAACTGTCTTTCAAAAACAAAAGAATTTCACATCTACTAATGAAGCATTGTTAAAGACACTTGTAATTTTTGAAGCTTCCTTCATTCAGCTTGCTGCATCTTGGACATTTCCGGCAAGCAAGGTTATTTTAGGTCATGCTTATTTATAACCTCTCTTTTACTGGTGGTTCCTACAGCAGCCACACCTATCGTTTGTCATCTAACTACAGTGTTCCCTCACACGTCACACCCTTTAAGGTTCAGAGTGGGATGGGTGCACCACATTTTACATAATTGTCAAAAGTTTAGGTCTATCCTACATTTCCATCACTTTTGATTTTATTTAACCTGCTTTTCTCTTTTTTGTCTTTCACATCTTTATTTTTAAAATTATCATTACCATACCTTGCTTTAAGAGTACAAAAACTTGATGACAGTAAAGAATTTTTGGTGGTAACATTTTCTGAAGTAAGAGTGAAGAAATATCCTCCAATATCACAACTGTGGGTGAGTACAGACGTACGAAGGAATGGTCCCCACTGCTTTCAAGGACAAAACAATTTAGTGTTCCAGTGTGTTTGTGAGAGAACACTGAGTATCTATTTATAGCAAGTGTGACGGCAGAGGTGATTAGTAGATTCCCTGCGGGCCAATAACTGTGCCAGCAACTGTGGAGAGTGGCAAAGAATTTTGCAGAAGAGCGAGTCCTACACACACAGAGCTCAGAAACATAAAACGTCCCTAAGGTGCGGGAGCCTAGTACTTCCTGGGTTCTCCCTCTCCTTACTTTCCATTCTCCTGCCCAACACCCAGCCCTTAGGCCTCCCCTCCACCCTCTGCCTTCGTCCACGGGTGCAAACGCCCCGCTCCCTCCGCCTGCGCGGGCTGGGAAACTGGTACCAGCCGGCGACCCCATCCGCGCCTGCGCAGAGCCCCTTCTGGCGCGAACGCGCTGCCACAATCCCGATACCCCCGCGCGCCCCGGGAGTGTGGAGGGCGTGGGGTCCGCGGTAAACCGGCCCCAGCTTCTTTCTTGGGGCGGCGTATCTCCGAGCTCCTCCTACTCTGCCCAGTTCTTCTCACAGCCTCGGAATCGCGTCCACACGGGCGCGCGCCCAGCCTCAGAACAGCAACCCCGAGGAAGCGGACGGAGGAAAGTGCAAGGGCAGTAACACGAGCTCCGCGACCGCCGAGCCTCTGGGCGGGGTCCCGCCCCCAGCCGACTTCCTGCCTCCCATTGGCCCGCGCGCCTGTCCGTCTCCGCTCTTGGGCCGCGCCGGCTCTCCACCCGGCTCGCTCTCCTCACTACGCCGCTTTCCTGTCTCCTTTGGCGCGTGTTGGGCCGCCCACGCCGAGGCAAGCCTGAGCTGGCGCTGGCTCGGGTAAGCTCGGAGCAGGGGAGGGCCGGGCGGCGCAGCAGCTGAGCATCGCCTGGGCGGGCGGCAGGGCGCGGCCTCTTCGCCGGCAGCACCACCTGTCGCGGGCCGAGACGTCCGGTAAGGCTGGGCGCGGCGCGCGGTCGGGGGCGCCCTGGCTCGGCGGGGCCCGGGCGGGGGCTCCGGGAGGGGAGCAGGCGCCGGCGGAGCCCTGGCCGAGCCCCGGCCGCGGGCCTCTACGCGTGTGGCCCGCAGTGGCCTCCGCCTGGCGAAGGGTTGCTGCGTAAAGGGAAGGAGCCCGCGGAGTCCAGCGGAGGGCGAGGGACCGGTTCGGACGCGGCGAACCCAGGTTCCACCGTCCGCGGCTCTTCCCGGCGCTCGATTTCTCGGTTTCTCCGCCCGCTGGTGCCAGGGCACACCCCCTCCGGGCCGGGAGTGAGGCCCTGTGGCCTCCAAACACGAGCATCTTCTTTCTCTTTCCTCCTGCGCCTGTTAAAGACCAGTTCTTGTGGCTCGAAACCCCTTTGACAAGTACATCTCCCTTTCACGCGGGTTGAGTTAGTGACAGGAATTAGGCTATGTGTGTGTGTATGTGTGTGTGTTCGTTCATTCCTTCCTCATTTTAAAAGAGTTGTTGAAGGCTAGAAAGTTCTAAGATTGGAACGGTTCTGTCCATTCATATGAAATGGCATCTGTGCATTAGGATTGGCAGGTGTTTCTTTGACGCTCGCGATAACCATCTCTGCATGTGCTGTTACATTTGTGGTCCCAGACTTGACTTTCTTTTTTTTTTTTGAGACAGAGTCTCACTGTGTTGCCCGGGCTAGAGTGCCATGGCATCATCCTAGCTCACAGCAACCTCAAACTCCTGGGCTCAAGCGATCCTCCTGCCTCAGCCTCCCGAGTAGCTGGGACTACAGGCATGCGCCACCATGCCCGGCTAATTTTTTCTATATATTTTTAGTTGTCCAATTAATTTGTTTCTAATTTTAGTAGAGACGGGGTCTCGCTCTTGCTCAGGGTGGTCTCGAACTCCTGAGCTCAAACAATCCGCCCGCCTAGGCCTCCCAGAGAACTAGGATTACAGGGGTGAGCCACCGCGCCCGGCCTTGACTTTCTTTTTTGATTCCGATGATAATTCTAGGAAATTTATGTTGCTCGTAGGGAGAAGCGTGATCAAAATAACAAACCTCAACCGAAGTGCTTCCTTACAAAACGTTGAATCATACCTGTGGATTTACCTTCCTGAAAGATGTGTCTGCCACTCAAAGCAAAACAGTTAACAGCATTGTTCTTTCTGTTAGTATTGCAGTTGATGATGATGATAACAATAGAAGCACATATTTATTGTTAGTGATGAACTAGATGCTGTTCTCTACATGGATTATCTCAAAACAACCCTTTGAGGTTGTAACTGTTACTATCTCCAGTTTACAGAGGAGGAAACCAAGACTTAGGAAGGTTAACTCGTCCATGACTATAGTTTTTAAGTGAAAGCCTAGATTTAAACTCAATCAGTCTCACTTTACATCTCCACCCCCCACCTCCCTAACTTGTATGCTCCTTAAGCGTTGCTCATGTTGTTAAGCTGTTTGCAATGTTGTATTTATAAATTTTGCGTTTCAGTTTCCAAATATTCTGTAAGTTAGATAAAAAACAGTCGTTTTCCAAGAATAAGTAAATATATGCATCTTTCATGTTAACTGCTCTAATTGATTGTCTGTTGCTGTGTTACCGTTTGCAGAAATAAAGGAAAAAACAGCTTAACTCCCTCTTATAATATTGGACCTCTAAATAATCAACTGTGATTTGTAACCTGTGCCTGACTCTTTTATGGTATTTATAGAGACTTGGAAGTTAGGCATAGAGTCCAGAAATGCTGATATAACTTTTATCATGCATTAATAGGAAATGTTGAGGTCTGCTTTTGTAGAAGTTCTTCATTCTCTTGAGAATAACATACTCCTGCTTAATAGCTGTTCCTGAGAAGAACTGCTTTTACACCCTTAGTAAGTATTTATGTATGGTTTTGTCTTTTAATATTTTATGAAAACACATTAAAATTGATAAAGAAAAACCCATTTACCATTTGTGAATTTCTTTTGTAAATTAAAAACTCCTATGCTGACCTGCATAATTTATGTAATGTTAAACTAAAATTCTAATTTATTTTGGTGAATTTCAGACAAACTAGCCATATTTTAAAATGCAAGTAACACTAGAACGCATACTCGTTTACTGAGGATTAATGTTTGAGGACAAAATTAACACTCAAATAAAAATTACATTTGGTTGTATAAAAAAGTAACTATTTTATTAGAAGTTAACTAGTTTATTTGAAAGTCACTATTTTGATTTTATGGCTGCATATTATATCTTTGATCAATAAGTACAAATTTCAAAAGTAATGAAAAATATTGTATTGATTCTATAGATACTGTTTAGGATAACATTTGATGTTGCCTGGATCTATATGCCATCCAAATTCTCATTCTTGACCTGGAGACTTAATTTGACATATTTTAAATAAATGTTAATCATGATTATCCTCTTAATGTGGATTTTACCATTAGAAGATGTTGACGCAGAAACTAGCAGGCATTTAGAAGGCATCTTCTGACCTTAGTCTGTTACTACTAATAATAGTAATGCTTATGATAACTAATGTTTTCAGAGCACCTGGAGGGCACTGTGGTAAGCATCTTAAATGGATTATCTAATTTGAATCTTAAAACAACCTTATTTAGTGGATCTTGTTGTTGATCAGCTCCATCTGTGTGATGAGAAAACTGCAACCCAGGTTGTAACTTAGGATCACAGAGCTAGCAAAGGACAAAGCTAGAATTTGATTCCATGCAGTTTGACTCCCGAGCTTGCCCTTGATCACTCTGCTATGGGTTTTAGTAAGCAAACCTTCAAGTCAAGTAGTCAAGCTCTTTATAATGGTGATGATGATAAAGTTCTAAGGGCTTGATACTATGTATGTATATATCATCATAATTACACAAAATTCTACAGGAGACTTTGCCCTCTTCCATTTTATTGATGAGAACAATGAGATGTCTAAGCCAGTGTTTCCCAGACTTGGACTTCGTGGACAAGTAAAAAAAAAAAAGGGTGTGTGTAGGGGTGCAATTGAGACCAGACATAAAATCACCTGCTTTTAATTTTTTCAAAGTTAAGGACCATCTTAAAAACTGGTACACATTTCAAAAGTAATCAAAATATTATATTGGTGTGGTGGCTCATGCCTGTAATCCTAGTACTTTGGGAGGCAAAGGCAGGAGGTTTGCTTGAGGCCAGGTTTTTGAGACCAGCCTGAGCAAGAGAGAGACCCCATCTCTATAAAACATACAAAAATTAGCTGGGTGTGGTGGCACCCACCTCTAGTATCAGCCACTTAGGAGGCTGAGGCAGGAGGATTGCTTGAGTGTGAGAGTTTGAGGTTGCAGTGAACTATGATGACATCACTGCACTCTCGCCTGGGCAACAGAGTGAGACCCTATCTTGGGGGAAAAACCAACCAACCAACAAAAAAACTACTGCAATCTACTGTCCCCATTCTTTCCTTTTTTTTTTTTTTTTTTTTTGAGACAGA